TAAGGGTATGAATATTTATGCAATGTACTTATTTCAGTTTTTTTTATTTTTAATTAATTTACACAGTTGTGACAGTTCTGTTTTTGCTGTCAATATGGTGTATGGAGTGTAGATTGATGTGGGGAAAAAAGTACATTTAGGCAGTTTAACATAAGGCAGCAACATAACAAAACGTGAAAAAAATCAAGGGGTATGAATACTTTCGCAAGGCACTGTATGTAAGTTGTGCATTCTCCTGTCTTCTTTGTTATACATTTTGTGGATTATCTAGTAAAGACTGAGTTTGAACTTCATTTGCCTTCATCGTGTTTATCTGAACATCCAAACTGTGACAATGACTAGATGCTTTATTGCCCAGCCCTACTGTGAAGTAATAAACTTTTGTTTTGAAATATTTGTATGCTATCAAATATAGTTATATATTAGTTAATATATATATATATACATTGCCCATCCATTGTCATCATTACCTCTCTTGCCTTGCTCTACAAATCTCAATCCAGAAGTGGTGTTTGCTTGGGTGACTGTGTGCTTGACCCACTAAAATCACCGAGTTATGGGTTCTGATACCCGTTTTGCATTTCAATCAAAAAGGGCACAGTCACCATCAACACACATAAAAAAGACAGTCATATAGAGTCAAACGCACAGCCCCGGACTATGCACATTTCTGAGGTGCTACATGCACGATCTTTGCTCTGAGGTCATCATTTGTGTTATTACCCCTCAGCCCACTGCCACACACATACTTTGGTGTGTAGTTGTGTTTTGAGGGACCAGGTTGGGGTGAGCAGAGGAGGCTTCCACAATGGGAACTCACAGTTTATTGTTTGTTTAAAGAACATTGCCAGCAGGTTGGAGGCTTAAGCCTGTTATACTAACCTTCAAGTCTCGATGTACAATGCCATTTAGGTGACAATAATTAACACTCTCTAGAATCTGCTGTATGCAATGACTGTGAGAAAGAAAGACACAGCAAGGAAGCCAAAGAAGAGAGATTGAACAGTTCAGCAAGCACAGTCAGAAAATAAATGCAGCTGGCAAACAAACAATGCAACCAGACAGTGAATTTAAATACTGTACTCCAGTGAGTAATAGGCTGTTGAAAACAGTGTAATTTTTGTTATAATTCTAAACAAAGATAGATTTAAATCAATATTTCACCCAGAAATGAAATTTTGTATCAAATCCCTGTTGACTTTCTTATTTATTTATGTCATCTGTGAAACAAAAGGGAGAAATGTGTGTGTGTTGGGGTCATTGTACACTGTATAATGTCTTATACAGTGGCAGGAAAAAGTTTCAGAGAACCCTTTGAAAATATGTGGATTTCTACATTGATTACTCATAAAAAATTGTGCATTATGCAGATGAAATTGGGAAGTATGGGTTGCACAGGTACCCTGCCCTTTAAAAAAGGGCATGCAAAGCCTCTTTACTGACAAATCTGTTCTTCTCAAGAAGATAAATGGGTGTCAAACTCAGCTCGGGGAGTTAAGCTCCATCCTGCGCCAACACACTCACCTTTAGTTTTCAGCTGGGCAAGCTGGGCAAACACTGCGAGTTTTGCCTGATTTTGAGCCAATTCATACTACTCTTTTTTTTGAGTCAAGCCGAATTTCAGCTTTGTGTACAGGGGGTAACGAGAGGAGATTATCCTTTCCCGACCGGATTAATTTTTAACATGTCAGAAATTTTGGTCACCCCTCATGAGAGTATCGCACAGTTGAAGCAGAGCTACGAACCGACTGCCCTAAACTCAGTGTTTTTACACTCACTTCTCCTGCGTGAGAACAGAAATAAAACCATGGCAACATGGTGTGCAGTACGGATGGAAGTGATGGAGGCTACACACTTCTGGGTTCAGGGGGTCCCACATGTTTGTTTTGCACGTATAGTGTGAGCACATAAATCCTGAGCTTTGGCTTGACATTGCATGCAATTTACTCATACAGTGAGAGTTGGTATTTAACAAAAATGCTGCTGAAATCGCACAGTGTATGTCCAGCTTAATTCTGAAGACCCTGATTAGTTGGTTCAGGTGTGTTTAATTAGAGTTGGAGCTAAACTCTGCAGGGCCATGGCTCTCCAGGAAGTGAGTTTGACATCCCTTACTGTGAACCATGCCTTGATCCCAAAAGCTTTCACAGGACTTTGAAAAAGGGATTACAGAGATGCATAAAAGAAGGAAAATGTTACAAAAAGCATTGCTAAAGGTGAGTGTTGAATACACGTTAAGATACTGTGTCTACAAACGTGGGAAATTTTTGACTATCGTTACTCTCCCTAGGAGCGGGCATCCTGCAAAGATCACTTTAAGAGCACAACGGACAATTCTGAAAGAACCACAGGATTAAATGAAAAGACCTCCAGAAAACTCTGCAAGTCATAACTCATGTGCCCACTATCAGAGAAAAAAAAGCACTGAATATTGTTCATCTAAGGACAACACGCTGGAAACCACTGCTGCCAAAAATACTGAGGCATGTGTTGTGTTTTCCCAAGACCAATTGGATGTTCCATTGTGCTTCTGGGAACATGTTCTGTAGACAGTTGAGAATTATTTTTTTATTATTCAAAGGAAAAATGGCACTGCACATCCACACCAAAACCTCAACCCAATTGGCAAGAATGGCTGAAGGAACATCATTATTTAGTGCTGCTTTACTGCCTCAAGGCCTGGACTGTGCATGATTACTATGTATTACTCCATAAAATGTGAAAAGTACTACTTGTTGTGTTATAAGTTTTATTAGATTGTGTTTGTCTATAATTTTAGAGTTAAATTAAACAGCCCAAAAATCCAGATGTTTTCAAAAGATTTAAAACTTATTCATGTCACTGTATGATCTCGCATGAATGGCCAAGAAGAATGGCGGAGTAAAAAACCACCTTGGTGGTTGTATTATTTCAGATTAACTGGGATATTGAGTCATCTGGACTACATTTATGATACTTCTATGATGCATTTGTGTCCTTTTTGCAGCTTGAATGCTTTCACAGAAAAATTAACAGAAAAGAACACAGTAAAAGTCTTAATTTCTCATTCTGTGTTACATAGAAGAGTCAAATGGGGTTGGAATGATGTATGGGTGTGTAAAGATGACAATTTTCATTTCTGGGTGAACTCTTCTTTTAAAAATAATAATAAAAATATCACAGAAGCACACAAAAAGACAAGCTTAAACAACCCAAATTAAGATAACACCCTCAGCAAATAAGCAGCATAGAAAGAAAAGAACTTGAATTAAGCAAAAAAAAAACAAAAAAAAAACCTACAGACAAACATTGCAAGTACAAATACATTGGAAGACATATTGCAGTGCAGACACTTTTTTTTTTTTTTACATTTCTTCTCACAGTTGGGTTTAAACGCTAGAAAACATTTATTTATGATACATGAGCAATATTACGAAATTTGCTCATTCACTGGTTCTATGATAAGGTTACAGATATGATTGCCCCCATAACTGACTGAGAAAAATAACCATATTATGCACACACAGACAGTGATGATAAAATATGGTTCTTCTGTTTTGTGAATTACGAGACTTGCACTTTACATTTTTTAAGTGATTGGTATGAGTGGAATGTTCAGCTCTTACCACAGAAAATAGTTTGACTTTATGGTCAGTTTATAAAAATAAGCTAAAAACGTGTTTACAATAATGCACTTACAATGGAGGTCTATAGGGCAAGGTTTTCTGGAGTGTTTAAAAGCATACATATAATTGAATATAATTCATTTATTAATTCCTCTGCTCTGTGTGTTTGAGCTGTAGGTCTCTAAATGTTTTTTTTTTTTTTCTCGGCGGTTTACTTTGCTAGACAGAATGATTTCTCGACATGTTACTGATCTAATGTAATTTTCACAGCAACTCAATGCTGTAACAAGAAGGAAGCATGTGCAGAGGATTTAACAGGGCAAGAACATGGTCAGTAAACAGACAGCAGCCAAAACTGTTTACTGTAATGCAGCCCATACAAACAAATCCAAAACAGTAAAAGAGCGAAAATGGGGAAAATAGCAAGGCTGAACATAACACTTAATACAATTCAGAAAAGAACATTCAGAATTGTCAACATAAACCATAAACAAGACTTTGCAAAGAAGCAGTGCAAGGCTGGGCTATATAAGAAGTCTACTAATGAGGGGATGAGATTCAGGTGTGAAGGAAACCCAGAAGTTAGTATTCTGGTGATGGCTCCCTCATTTGGTGGGAGGAGGGAATGGCAGGTGCAAAAGCAGTTATACTTTAATGGATGAAGTGTCTTGCCCCATAAACTTCCACTGTAAGTTAGGGATGGGCGATATCTTATCGTTTGTGATATACCGGTAAAAATTCTCCCCGCGATAAGAATTAGTCTTCCCACGATAATAATGATAAAGTCTAGTTGTTGACATATTTCTGTGTGCGACAGTGCGGAGCGACAAATAACAGGATACCTTCCTGGAGCGTCATCAGTAGTATTACTTCTGCTATGGATATGTGGAGTTTCTGTGCAAGAGCGCCCTCCGGCTTCCAGTATGAATTAAACAGTTCTTATATTACGTGTGTACTCATTAATGCTCACAACACTCTATTTTGGGTAAAAATAGGAAAGATAATTATCGTCATTGATATCGTTATCGCAATAAATACCAGAAATACTGTGATATATTTTTAAGCCCATATCGCCCATCCCTACTGTAAGTCCATTAATGTTGAAAAAATATCACAAAATTATTTTCTCTGATAATTGACAACACGCCACAGATGTTGTCTATAGGGCTTCATATATTATAGGCCTATATGATATGCTTTATATTATAGTTTAGTGTGTTGTCTATTTAAGCTAATTGAGCTGTTTATTTAATTCATGCATTCTAATGAGTGGGTTTTAAAGGGGTTTACATTTGGATGCAAGCACTAACCTGGCATCGGCCTCACTGTAGTACTCTCTGGCAACAATATCTTCAAACAGCTCCCCTCCTGTGACTCTGAAAAAGTTCACATTCAGAGTCAACACATCAAACAGTCTCATTGCAGCACCTTTAATAAACAGGAAGGTATGATTTACATTTTCATCTTGGCATGACATTATGAGTGATGAGAATGCAAGAGTGTATATACAGTATACATCTCTTGTCTTTACACACACACACACACACACACACACACACACACACATATATATATATATATATAGAGAGAGAGAGAGAGAGAGAATAGAAGTTTAAAAATCAATCAATAAATAAAATAAATAAATAACATAAATAAAACTCTAACCTACCAGAGTGTCTCTACACTGGACACAAATAACTTGTTGCAAATTCTTTTCGAAACTGAGCATCACCCTGCCCTCCTCACTCTGAAGGGCAGATCACTTAAAGTAAGTACTCTGAAGGGTACTTTACACTTACATGAACACAAATGTCACTGCCACTTTCTTTTGAATTAGAATGTTACCTTGACAACACTGCAGCAAAATTCATTATAGCAGTTTACATTTACATTTTACATTTAGCAGAAGCTTTTATCCAAAGCGACTTACAAATGAGGACAATGGAAGCAATCAAAATCAATAAAAGAGCAATGATATACAAGTGCTATAACAAGTCTCAGTTAGCTTAACGCAGTACACGTAGCAAGGGTTTTTTAAATAATATAATAAATATAAAGAAAACAGATAGAATAGAGTAGAGCAATAGAGCAAGCTAGTGTTAGAGGTCTTTTTTGCTTTTGTTAATTGTATAATAAATGAAAAGAAAACAGATAGAATACAAAAAAGATTAGAAAGCAAGTGTTAGTAAGGGACAAGTTTTTTTTTTAAAGAATAGAATTAGAATCGAGAGTGCTAGAGTTAGAGGGTCAAATAAAGATGGAAGAGATGTGGTTTTAGCCGATTCTTGAAGATTGCTAAGGACTCAGCTGCTCGGACTGAGTTGGGCAGGTCATTCCACCAGGAGGGAACAGTTAATGAAAAAGTCTGTGAAAGTGATTTTGTGCCTCTTTGAGATGGCACAATACAGCAACGTTCACTTGCAGAATGCAGGTTTCTTAAGTAGTGGGGTTATATGAGCCTGTCTAAATGTTGAAGGAAAAACACCAGTGTGAAGGGATTTGTTAATGATGTGAGTGAGTGCAGGTACAACTACTAATAAATGAAATTGAAATTTAAAGTTTAACCTTTAAAGTTGTTCAGAAGTAAGTCAAAAAGTTAATAAAACCACAACAATGCCAAAACATTTGAAAAATGACATCAAACTACATGAAGAGGCCGACGATCAGGGCAAGGCCTCGAGCAACACTACAGGGGAGCCGAGGCCAACCGGCGCTAACGCTAGCGCAACTTCTCCAAGCACTCAAGACATCATGGACGTCATAACAGCCCTTAATGCTTCATTTAGCCAAAAATTCGAAACATGTTCACGCAAACACTGACTGAGCTAGCGTTAAGCCAGTCGGCGTGGTAGCCCAGGCACACATAGATAGTAATACATGCGGTTCTCATGGCTCTTCGGAGCAGCAGCAGTACATATGTCTTGGTGATAGATCTGCTTGTTGGGGGTGTTTTGTTTTTGTTTTGGGTTGTATTGTCCGTTCTATGTCTCCTGCTTTGTGGGGGGTTATTTCATGTATGTTATATTTGCAGCAGCAATGTTTCTTACATGCTCACAGCAGCACGTTGTGGATGTATTAGCAGTAGCAAGTCTCGGTACTTGCTCTGCCGCAGCAGCAGCGTAGCAGATCTATTCCGCCAAGACCAAATACATTAACATTGTCATGTACATTACCATGCCAATCCCTCCGAGAGTTGTCATGACAGAAATACAGAGTTCTGGCATGAAACTCTAGATGGCGCAGTCTGATAGGTCTAACTCAATCTGACCTAATGGCATCATTATCACATGGCTCAGCTGATTGGTTCTCTCCTGTATCAGTAACCAATGAGCTCGCTGCTTAACATTCAAATATATGACTATTGCTTGCCGTAGTAGTGAAGCTTGCTTCAGAAACCCCCCACCTTCCCCAGCTCCACCTGTACAAGGTTATTATAGTTTTGCATTTTTAAATTTGTTTTATTTTAATATCGTTTTCAAATTTGCAATAAAATTTAGTTTTGTTTTTATTCGTTTCATTAATAATTTTGTTAGTTTTAGTTTAGTTTTTATTTTGTGAACACATTTCTATTTCGTTCTCGTATAGTTTAGTTTCAGTTTTAGTAATTGAAGCTTAGCAGAATTAACAGATCACTTCCAGTGCGCAGACCAAAGAAAGACTTAATTTAACCTTATTGACGCAAACGTCTAGCGACACAAAATTAAAGCATGCTGAGATTTATTAGATGGTAAAAGTATACAAATATAGCCAAAATGGAGAAGTCAAGCCTTTTTACTCCATAAATCTACACAAGTTGCGCTTACATTATCATATTTAAAAGCACTCGACTGAATGATAAATGTGTGTTGTTATACTTAGTTTGAAAATAAATGTAATTTGGTTATATTAGATGTCTTTTATCTTATTTAAACATAATCAGTATACTGTAACTGTCATGTCTTGCTCACTTTCCCACGAACAAACATGCATAAATCATGAAATTCAATAATAGGCCTAATAGCGGAGCCTCAACATCTTTTCACCACCTTTATTTTAACATAACTTCTTATAATATGTGGTGATGCAACTTCCAATTCATCGATCGTCACTTATTCCTGATCATACCTTTCGCATTGCACTTTAAACCAGAGTCCTGCACGAGTTTGGCTCCCCACGGGTAATATTTAACCGCTAATCAATAGGCACGTGCGGACTGCGGGTCCGATATAGCCAAGACTATTTAGACTCAATTCAATTCCCGCTGATAGGCACCTGTCTTCAATGGTCCAGTGCGTATTTGTGTTCACGCTCTGCAGTCTGAAGACCGTCAAAGATTTCTATTTACAATTCGATTTGCAGCGTTACGCATTATAGCCATTCGTGCTGAAATCCTTTTCATGAAATCCCAGCATACACGCTCCCGATAAATATTTGTTATTAAAGCATCAACATTCACAGAACACTGTTATTTTTAACTAAAGCAAGCGGCTGCTGCGTGCATGGTTTGGCATGGCAGAATGCCAGCAAAGAGCGCTGCATTTATAATCTCTAAAAGACATCTCAGTTCATCGCAATCTCACAAATCTCTGTTATAACACAATAAATACATGCATAATGAATCTTTCATAATGTCTACAATTCGTGTGTTATAATGAGAGGATTCGTGAGCACGCAAATTTCAGCACTGCATTGCTCAACACTGCAAACACGTGTTATAGCCTAAATAGAAACTCTGCATACGCTTGCACCTGTTAATCGTTTATATTTTATATTACTTCGTGTTGCTTTTGTGCAATAGATGTATAACAA